ACGGGAAATGTGTCCTGCCTCTGTGGGGAGGAACTACCCAGATGCAGGGCAAAGGCTGTGGCGTAGGACGGGCAGGGATGCACTCCCACGGCTCCCTCACGGGCGGCTGTGAAGGTCCAAGGAAGTGGCACACGTGCACACTAAAGTCCTTTGAAAACTGTAAAGTGCTACATGCGTGTGCAAGGTGGTGGGGGGTGTCGCAGTCCTAGAACTTCTCCAAGAGACTTTTGAGTCTTCAAAGACCACTACTCTCCTGGTTTTGATGTTACCTGTATTTGGCTGTTGCCTTTGAAAATGGGTGACCCCTGTTTGGTATCCAAGATGAGGGGAAGGGGGAAGAAACCTGTTAATTATGCATTACTTTTTCTGTAATTCCAGTGGAGTCTCCGCCTACACGTGTGTGTGCCTTGAGCAAATTCAGCTACACCCCCTCAGATGAGGAGGAGGGGGAGGCAGGCAGAGAAAGAGAGAGCTCCCAATTTCATCATTTTCCCCTTTACTCTTCCCTTGTTTATCCAGGCCTGGATGTCTCGTCTCCTGCTCCGTAGGACACAGACAAATAAATAGAAGTTAATAAAATTAAGCTTTAACTTTGGGTCATACAAGTGCCTAAGTTCTTGAGATTTAATATTAGCATAAGGACTTTTCACCACCTGCACTAACTTGCAAGGAAGTTAATAAAATTAAGCTTTAACTTTGGGTCATACAAGGGCCTAAGTTCTTGAGATTTAATATTAGCATAAGGACTTTTCACCACCTGCACTAACTTGCAACCCGCTTCTCCCCTCCCCGCCCCTAGGGCACAACTCCTCTGTGGCCCAGTCCCTCAGCTAACCAGAATTCTCAAACAACCAAAATGCCCCACTCCCTGTTACAGCCGAGTTCCAGGGACTTTGCTCCACCTTGGGTAAAAAGTTTAGAAAATTATAACTCTAACCAAGAACATTGATTTTTACACTTTTTCCCCAAACAAAATACTGTGCAAAACCCGTTTTCAAAGCAGATGAAGGCAGAGTTGCTGTGGTTGAGTCAGCGGGTGGAGGACAGAGCCTGCCACTCTCCCTTGCTGCCCACAGAAAACCCTAGGGCTCTGTGGGGTATGGTTTGAAACTACTGCTTTAGATCTTCCATGTGATAGATGGCCCAGAGGCTGGGACGCAGGCATGTGTCCCCCGCAAAGACCCTAGGAAATGAGACTGTGCGTGTGTCCCAAGGCATAGGGGTGCCCAGATAGTGGCCCATTCCTTTTGAGCAGTCTGTGGGCTGAGCCCTGGTGCCCTGGCAGGGGCCTTAGCCTAGCACCAGGCCACAGTCCCAGCCAGCACACAGTCCTTGGCCAGCCAGGGGCCTCTGTCTGCACCGAGGCCTCAAAGCTCACCATCCGTCTCTCCTCCCAGGCCGACGCCAAGATGGTGTGTGACGTGGTGAGTCGGATGGAAGACACTGAGCCCTTTTCTCCAGAACTGCTCTCAGCCATGATGCGGCTCTGGGGGGACTCAGGAATCCAAGAGTGCTTCAACCGGTCTCGGGAGTATCAGCTCAACGACTCTGCCAAATAGTGAGTGTCCCAGGCAGGAGGGAGGCCTGGAGGGGCATGATGCGGGATGGAAGGGATGGGGAATGGTGGGGCAAGGAGGGATTCTGAGGCTGTACCTGCTGTGAGATAGTCTAGCACAGGTGGGGGGTGTCAGGAAGGAAGAAGAGGGGCTTCTCTTCCTGTCCCCAGGATTAGGAAGAGGCCAGGGAAGGCAGAGGGCGCTAGAGACAACCAAACAGCAGAAATTCCCCGGGCCAGGACCTTGTCACCTGCTTGACCTGGAGCGTGCCTGGCATTCCAGAATGTAGGTTTTCTGTGTATCAGCTTTTGTTTTCTCTGGAGAGCCCTTGACCCCGTAAGTACAAATCAAGAGCCATAGAGGCAGAAAATAACTTAAACAGTGCCATTTTCTTTTGTTTTAGAGAAAATAATAAACTTTCCATTCCTCTATCTTTAAAATTAAAAATAAGGAATATGTAACTCCATTCAATAAATATAATAAATAATTAAACATATACTTGAATACTGTGTTATAACCAGATAAGAGGGAGGACAGAGGAAGGTAGAGGGAGGGCAGGAGGGACAGAGAAGACAAGAGGAAGGGAGAAGTGGGAAGTGGTAAAAGCCAGAGCAGGGTAGAAGGGATAGAAAGGGAAAAGGCATAGCTCTTCACGTGGCAGTGGGGTCTTGGTCTGCCAGCTGCGACTTTGTCACTTGAAGGTGTCTTCATTGATTATATGCCCTTGGCTCCTAGACTGGAGGCTCCAGAGCCCTGGGATTGTTGGTCTTGGTCAGGGACATATCTTCTGTCATGGAGATACTAGGATTGCACCTTGGCTTTCAGGAAACGCACCCCACTTTTGCAATCTGGTACCCAGGCTCTCAGGGAGGAGCCCCACTCTCTGAGGACGCATGTGCTCTGACCTGATCTGATTCAGCCATCCTTACCAGTGTTTTTCAGCCAGGGCCATTTTGCAATGTCTGAAGACATTTTTGATTGTGATGACAAGGGTGTTGCTCCTGGCATCTAGTGGGTAGAGGCCAGAGATGCTGCTAAATATTCTACAATGTACAGGACAGTCTCCACAATAAAGAATTATCTGGCCCAAAGCATCAGTAGTGCCAAGATTAAGAAACCCTGATCTCCACAATGCTGATGTAACAGAGGCTAGGGCCAACAAAACAGCATGCACTAGAGGACATTTAGACATTTTGATTGACTGTGTTGGCAGCTAACAAACTAGAGACATGAGTAAGGCCAGGAACATTTTCCCATGTCTATATACCTAGATTGTCCACGGGCAAATGCCTAAATCCTGTGTGTCCCAGGTGGTGGCTACCAGGCCCCCAGGCCCTGATGAGCCAGGGACCAAGGTGTGTCCCTAACCAAGACCTAGGGACACCTTGGTGGACAGGTATATGAGCCAAGAAGCTCAGTGTCCACAGCTCCCTGTGTATACTCAAATCACAGACCAAGAGCCAGGCCTCCTCCCCTGAGCCCAAGTCAGGCCAGGAAAGAGTGCTTTTCAGTGGGATCCTTCCAGGATCACCCAGTGTAACAGGGCAGGTGGGCCTTCAGAGCCCTGAAGCCAGAGAGGTCCTCCTTCCACCTCTCCCTCCCTGCCTCCTACTGGCCCAAATCCAGGACCCTGCCCCCACTGCCAGCTGTACCCTCAGGGGCTCCTCAGGGCCAGTGGCCCAAGTCTGTCTCCTGTTGGTGCATCAAATCATGCTCTCCACTGACATTTTTGGCTATTTCACTAATTATAATATGAATCCGTTGCAAAAACTTTAAAAAAATAATACAGAGGAGTGTAAAACAAAAAGTAATCTTCTACCCCTCCCAGTCCTGTTCCTCTCATTTTTAACCATTTCCATTTATCTGTCCCAGTGGTGTCTAGAGAAACCTGGTGCTAAAAAATAATACAGAGGAGTATAAAACAAAAAGTAATCTTCTACCCCTCCCAGTCCTATTCCTCTCATTTTTAACCATTTCCATTTATCTGTCCCAGTGGTGTCTAGAGAAACCTGGTGCTCCAACTTTAAATAGTATTTACTGACCCCCACTATAAAATCTGAGAAATTCAGCTCACCTTCCTTCCTTTCACCTCTCTCCACATCCATCGTCAATTTTTTTCTAGTTACAATATTATCTTTAGTTCTTCTGTTGGTTACCTTTATAAATTTAAGTAGGAAACTTGAGTCAGTATTTGTCAATTCCTCGCCAAGTGTATTAGTCCATTTTGTGTTGCTATAACAGAATACCTGAGACTGGGTAATTTATAAAGAAAAATGAAATTTATTGCTTACAGTTTCTGAAGCTGAGAAGTCCGAAGTCCATCTGGTGGTGGCGACAGTGACCCAAGGGTCTCACATTGCAAGGTGGTGGAAGCACAGAGAGCAGAGAGAGAGACAGACTCTCCTCTTCTTTTAAAGTCCTCGGAACCACACCCCTGACCACCATTTTTAATCCATTCACTACTGCAGGGTCCCACAATCCAATCACCTCTTCAAGGCTCCACCTTTCAATCCCCCCCCCCCCCCCCCCCCCCCTCTTAACAGTCATAGTGGGGGCTAAGTTTCTAATGAGTAAAACTTGGGGGACACAATTCAAGCTTCAATGAGTTTTGGAGGGACACAATTCAATCCACTACATTGGGTAAGCTGAGGAAATTCGCCTCTCTCTCTCTCTCTTGCTCTCATCTCTGCTCCCTTCCAAATTTTCAACTAATTTTCCAGTGGCAAGGTTTATGATATTGACATTCTCTTCTGTTATCCATGGTTAGGTCTTCTGCGTTTCATCTGTGGGAGAGGGTTCCATGGCAGGAAAGAGAGGAACACACAGATAGTCAGGGTGAGAAGGACCTTGAACATCTTTTAGTCCAGAGCTGTGTTGTTGTTGTTTTAGCGGTTAGATAAAATACATAATACCTTCTAATAAAATACATAAATAGATGAATGTAGAGTTGTTGTGATAGAAGGGAGAGGGAGGCCTAGTAGGGCTGTCACATTACACAATTCCAAAGGGTGCTATTTACATCCTGATACCCCAATCGCCATGTGCCCCCTAGAACAGCCCATTGCAGGGAAGGGACGAGGGCACAGAGAGACAAGGTCAGGTGTTGCCAGGCTCCTGCGTCTGCTCTTGCTGTCTCAGTGTGCCTTGACCCCTATTAGTAGGGCTGGCTCTTCCCCTCTGACTAATCACTTTGAGACAGGTCCCAGAAACCCAGAAACCCTGGGCAGATCTAACCAGGAGTTGTCAGAGGCACTGTCGTGGCTTAGTTTTAGCTTTGGTTTTTCCCAAGTCCAGTTCCCCACTGAATCGTCCCTGCTCTATGGCCACATTTCCTCTCCTTGCCTGCTCTTGAACCCACTCCCACCAGGCTCTTGCTCTTCCACCTACCGAGACTGCTCCTCACCAGGTCACCAGTGGCAGCTGCTCGGCTCCAGCTTCTTCTTACTCAGTGCTCGGTTTCCTCCTGGAGGCTACCAGCCTCTGCCTCCTCACTGGCCACCCTTCTCAGACTCCCTCGCTGCTCTTCCCAGCTTTCCTGGAGGCCCCGAGCTCTGTCCTTTCACCTGTTCCAGTCAAGCCTGGGTTATCTTCTCCAAGCTCATTGTGTGAAATTCCTTGTATGCTCAGACAACTCTCAAATTGACATCTCCAGCTCAGCCCTCCCTCCTGACTCCTGCCTGCTCAGTGTCTGTTTGGGCATCTAAACACATCTCACATTAACATGTGCCAGGCTGGCCGGTTAGCTCAGTTGGTTAGAGTGTGGTGCTGATAACACCAAGGTCCAGGGTTCGATCCCTGTACTGAACAACTGCCAAGAAAAAAAAAATGAACATGTGCCAGTGGAACTCCTGGTGCCCAGCCTCCCCGAAACCTGCTCTGCCTCACTCCCCCTCCCCCCAAAGGCATCTTCCTTCTACCACAAAGAGGCATCTTTAACTCGGCTCTTCCTCTCACATCCCACACCCAAGCCACCAGCAAATGTGACTCCCTTTTCAAATACATCCAGAATTCTGACCACTTCTTGTCCCCGCCCCAGCTACCACTGCTAAAACAACCCCCCGATGGGCCTCTCTGCTCCACTCTCATGGTCTGCTTGCATTACAGCAGTGCAGCCTTGACTTGAACACTCTTCTGGTTAGAATCTTCCAGGGGCTCTCATCTCACGCAGTATAAAAGCCCAAGTCCTTACAGTGACCTTCAGGGCCTCCCTGCTGTGCCCCACCCCCAAGTCCTGCCACTCTTGCCTCTGTTACCCACCCAGTTTCCCCCACTGCCTGCTCCCACCACATGTGCATCCCACCTCACTACTCCAGGTGCAGGTCTGTGTGCCCGCTGGTCCTTCTGCCGGGCCACTCGGAGCTCACTCCCTCATTCCCCTCAGCCTTCACCATGTCGTATAGCAGCCCCAGCCAGCCTCCCCCGTTACCCAGCCCCTGATTCTTCTCTCTGGCACTTACTACCTCCTGACATATTACATACCCTACTTGTCTGTTTATCATCTCCCACACATACACGCACACTGACACACATGCTAGAATGCAGGCTCTAAGAAGGTGGGAGGTCGTGGGTCCTGTTCCTTGCCCATCCCCAGTACCTGGAGCAGTAGGTAGGTGGGATATACAAGAGGTGCACATTCAACTTTGCTGCATCTCCACACCTCACCCCACCCTCCATGGCCATCTGCTTGCATGAGGCTTGGCCAACACAGGGAGAAACCCGAAGACCAGGTTGTCTATCTAAAGGGAGTTTGCTCTGGCTGAGATAGGAGGGGCAAGACCAAAGGCTTCCAGGCCTGGTGTCCGGCTGGAGGTTACAGCAGGTTGTCTTTTCAAGACCAGCACAGCTTATAAGAAGAGGCCATGGGAGCTTCTACAGGGGCTCAGTCAGGCTTAGGAGAGGAGGCCTGGAGTCCTATTTAAGCACATGGGCTCTAGATCCAGTCAGCACGCCCACCTCTCATGCAGTAGTGAACACAGTCCCACCAGCAAGCTGGCCCCCAGCAGGTCCTGGAGCAGCTGCAGCCTGGGACCCTACATCATCCCATGGCACAGACCCTCAGGGTCCTCCCTGTGGGCTGTGTGCAGTTCACCCTGGCACCAGTGATGGATGTCCTGGCTGGCCCCATGGATCACTGAATCTTCCTTCAGGCCTGGCCCCTCACTCGTGGGTTCCCAGATCCCACCATGGTTTTAGGTTCAAACCTAACCCATACAGAACCCAGAGCCCCTGCAGGCAGCATCCTCTGAGTGCTTGGCTTGAGGCCTGGGCAGGTGCAGTGTAAAGGTCAGGTTTGTCTCCAGAGCAAGTGGTGGCCTGGGGAAAGAGCCCTGATCCAGAAGACCTAAGCCCCAGGGAAAACCAGCCACTGTCCGGCTTTGTGGCCCTGGGCCTCACTCCAAGAGCATCAGATGGAAAGGGGCACACAGACCCCTTGGTAAATGAGAAGAAAGTCTGGAAAAGGCAGGCAGATACTCAGGGGCCTCTCAAAGCACTACAGAGTACTAGGAGCATGGACTCTGGAGCTCTGGCTCACAGTTTGTGCAGACTTGGACATGGAACTTACCTGCATTGAGCCCCCGTTTTCTAATTTATAAATGGTACATTTAACTCAGGGGGATTAAGGATGAAATATGATCACACTTGTACAGAAAAGAACCTACTGTTTTATTATTTTTAAAATGAAGAAATGACAAAATAGTATTACAAACATGGTAGTCTCATTCAAAAGTTTGGTCTGGTCTGTGTGCCTGGAGCTGCATGCACAGGCTTGCTGCATGCACAGCCCCTTTTAGTCTGAATTAGAGGCTTTTTGAGAATGTGAGGCCAGGACCATAAGATCCTTTTCCTCAGTCACCCCCACTGGCCCTGGAAGGGAGTGTTGCATCATCATTTCCACAGTTGGCCTGCGAGGGGCTCTGGCTGAAGCTGGACTCTGAAGGTGGTGGCCCAGCAAGCCCCGAGCAGCGCCCAGGTGTTTGGCCCATGGTCCCTTGTGTGTTGCCATCCTCAGCTACCTGGACAGCCTGGATCGGATCGGGGCTGCCGACTACCAGCCCACTGAGCAGGACATCCTTCGAACCAGGGTCAAAACCACCGGCATCGTAGAAACCCACTTCACATTCAAGAACCTCCACTTCAGGTGAGGCCCAGAGAGACACCCAGGCCCCAGCGGGGGTGGTTGAGAGACAGGAGACACCAGCTTCCACCTCATCTGATCTGGAGCACCCAGACATTGCCCTGCCTTGGGTGGCTTTCATGTTGGGGCAGGCAGTTAGATACCGGGAGCCTGTCTGAGTGTTGTTTTCTACCAAGTTCAGGGACTAGGGTGAGCAGAGGGGCTTCCTGGAAGAAGGGTCCTGCAGTGGAGCACTGCGGAACAGGGAGGATTTGGATGGACAAGGAGGGAAGACCTGTCCCTGAGGAGACTCCTGAGGGGGAAGAGAAAGGTCACCCAGGTGGCCCCTTGAAGATTGGGGGTATGGGGAGTAGTGGGGAAGGGGGGCAGGTAAGCCCAAGAAATATCTCTGAGGCCCGAAGGACCCATGTAATCCCAGAGCTGGAAGGGGCTTGGAGAGCAGCTGCTCACCCTGTCCCAGTACATATGGGGAGGCTGAAGCCTGAAAGGAGCACAGCTTTCCCTAGGCACAGAACACAGTGAAGACCCAGGGGCTCTGAGTGCATCAGAACAGGGGGCCTAAGGTACAAGGCCAGATTACTCAGGCCCTGCCTGAGGGTTGTTACACCACCTGGGGTAACCTCCAGGCACTGAGGCCTGGGAGCCCCTACCTGCCTTGCCTTCCAGGTATTGTTTCTGGGTGTCAGGTAGAGCAGGAGAGGCCAGGAGGGAAGAAGAGGACTGGGGCCTCAGGCTAGTGGACAGAGGCACAACCCTATTTCCTGGCCCTTTGCCCTGCCTGGGAGGGCTGGGTTCTAGGATTCCTTGTCTCCCCACATCCCCAGACTTTGCCCGCTCTTGTACAGACTGAGGGGGCTGAGGCTCTGCACTCAGGTTCCTAGGCCGAGCAGGTAGGCTCTCTGCAGTAGGCAGCCTCTCTGCAGGGCTGTGGGAGCTGCACTGGGCCCAACAGGAACCTCTAGGCCTCCACTGAACTGGGGAGCACAGCGGTAGGCCGAGCAGCCCCTAAGGTGCCTCCCCTGCCTTCCCAGTCTCCTCAATCTCTCCTGCTCACCTGTTGGGAGTACAGGACAGGGACCTTGGCTCAGCCCTGTCCAGCAGGCAGTCTGAGAATAAGCATTCTGGAGGGGCCGCATAGGCCATTGGCCAACCCCCCTATAGTTCAGATGGGGAGGCATGATCCACAGACGAGGGGATGAGACGCAGACCCATTTCCTTGCTGCAAGCCCTCTCTGATCTCGACCTGCAGCTGCTCTCCTATCTTGGGAGCCAGGGCTCCTGCCCACACAGGGTCAGGGCCCAGCCCTTCTGGCTGCTGTGTGCCTGCAGGTTCCCAGGTCCAGGACGCTGCAGCACTCCTTGCTCAGGGGGTTAGGGTGTGGGGCTGGCCTCTTACCTCCTGGACATAAGTCCCACTGCAGGAATTGCAGAAGGGGATGAGAGGCCAGGGGGCTTCAATCTGCTGGGGATTGCGAGGCAGGCACTGCTCTGTCTGCAGCCAGACCTGGGTCAGCCCTGGCTCCCCCACAGCTGGTCTCACCAAGGGTGTGGGCACATCCTCAGCCCTTGGTGTGTCACTTTCCCCATCCACATAACAGGGGACAGCCCAAGCCTGCCTCCCTCCCCACGCTGGTTTGGAGTTTGCCTATTGCACACACTTGGAAAGGAACAGCATGTAAGTGTGACATGGGAGGAGGACCTCTCAGAAGCGTTTCTTGGAGGCCAGCTGGTGTGCACCCCCTTAGTAAAATTCTTCAGATGCAGGGCAGGTCTTCACATCGCTAAGTATGAACAGCCCAGTGCTGAGGCAGACTCCAGGGCAGTGATGGCTGGCCTGATACTGGGGATGGCAGTGGTTCATCTGTCAGTCAGTACCTGAGCAAGGTCTCCTCGTGAGGCATCAAGCACACTTGCAGCTAGACACCCAGGTCTCCCCCCACCTGCCTGTACCCCACCGCCCACAGCTCCCCTGTCTCCCTGGCAGGCTGTTTGACGTTGGGGGTCAGCGATCTGAACGTAAGAAGTGGATCCATTGCTTTGAGGACGTCACGGCCATCATCTTCTGCGTCGCACTCAGCGGCTATGACCAGGTGCTCCATGAAGACGAAACCACGGTGAGTGGCCCTGGATCAACCCAGCCTGAGGTGGCACTGGCCGCAGACAGGCCAGCCCGGTGAGCGCTCAGGCCTTGGTTGCCCATGGTCGCCCTGGGGCCCCACTAGCTGTGGTGGCTGGGGGCTCCGTGGTACGGGCCACACCAGTGCATTCTTCTGACTCTACATTGCTGGGGCAAAGGCCTTGTGGTGGCAGCACAGCAGAGGGAGCCATGGGCCACCCAGCTCAGAGGCTGATGCAAGCTGATCCCACACAGCTCTGCAGGATGTAGGTTTGGGGCAGTAAGTGCTCAGTAAACTCAGCAGTCACGGAGACCATCAGGCTGAATAAAACTAAGAAAATCCTTAAAAAATTAGGGTGCAACAAAGCCAGAATGTATGTACAGCAGTCTTGGCCTTCAAAGACTTCCCTGGAACACTGGCCAGAGATGTGGGACAGGTGTTTGGGGCCAGAGGGCCGGGACCAGGAAGGGCTATAGGGATGAGACATGCTGGTGAGTGACACTTGTGGCTCTGGGCTCCTTTGTGGGATGCCAGATCAGGCTCTCACCTTTGGTTTGTGCAGCCCATTCAGCCTGGGGTCTCTAGCTTTGGCCTCTGAGGACTGCCAGAGTGGCTTCGGAAGGCGGACGCTCACCTGGAGAGAGGTGCGTCCTGCTTCTGGGCCTGAGCCTGGCTCTGCCACTCATTGCTTTGCTGCTGAATTTAGGCAGCACTCTTTGCCAGAGTGGCTTCGGAAGGCGGACGCTCACCTGGAGAGAGGTGCGTCCTGCCTCTGGGCCTGAGCCTGGCTCTGCCACTCATTGCTTTGCTGCTGAATTTAGGCAGCACTCTTTGTGCCTCAGTTACAGTGATTTGTAAAAGAGAATAATAATAGTGCCTGCCTTGGAGGGGGCTGTTGGCGATGGGATGAGATAATCTACATGCAGTACTTGGAACCGTTTCTGGCACAGCAGCACTTGAGCTGGTGTTGTCTTGTGTCTGGTGATTGCCCTGAGCCGGCTGGTCCACTAAGCAGTCCCCATCTAGGCTACAGCCCACAGGGCCAGCACATGCAGTACTTGGAACCGTTTCTGGCACAGCAGCACTTGAGCTGGTGTTGTCTTGTGTCTGGTAATTGCCCTGAGCCGGCTGGTCCACTAAGCAGTCCCCATCTAGGCTACAGCCCACAGGGCCAGAAGCCTGTCCACAGAGTCTGCAAGGGAAGCCAGGCCTTAAGCCTGGTCCAAAAGTTCACTGAAGACAAGCCCCAGCACTCCTGGGAGCAGAGCTCACAGACCATGGGGTCACACCCTGGCATGGTCTTCTCCTTCTGTCTGGAAATGCTCAGACCCTTTGCCCTGGGCCTCTCTAGGTCAGCATGGGGATTTGAGGCGAGGCCTGTCATCATGCTGGGCCTGAGCAAGGCCCGTCTTCTCTCTGAGTCTCAGTTTCCTCTTCAGTCCCAGCCCCGCTGGTCCCGCAGGGCTGCTGTGACGATGGGATGAGCTTTGGGGTGTGGGCTACAGGCACAATGCTATGGGGAGGAGGACCCGCCACCCTGAGGGGCTAACGCAGAGCAGTAGGGATTTCAGCAATTTGGGGCCAGTGCCACTGGCTGGGTGGGTGCCCTGGACCCGTGCCATGTGCAGCTTGCACACCTTGCTCTTCCTCTTTTATGCCCAGCTGCACCCTTGAGTTGGGTTTCGGCTGTTGTCTTTCTCAGTGGCCTCAGCAGGCTAGTCCTGACCCTGAGGGGTGATGGGGTAGACGCGAACCCGGGCTGTGCTTGAAACCAATTCAGTGACCACGCAAAGTCCAGGATGGCCCCCTGGCAATGTGCCCCACACAAGCCTGCCCCAGCACTGCCCTCATCTTCTACTGCTCCGCTGGTTGACACTGTGCTTTAGACCCGTTGCTCGCCGTCCCCTTGACCTCCTGTGCTCTGAGCTTCGCTTGGCTCATCTCCTGGAGTGTGACACTGCACCCGGCGTGGGCTTCAGGGAGAGTGAAAGTGCTGGAGGCTGGAGAGTGGGAGGGCCCCTCTCTCTGGAGCACGGCCTCTTCTGGACCTGCCTTGCCAGGCCTGCAGACAGCTTCAACCCACATCCTAGGCCCACCAGCCATGGGTTGGGGCTCTTGCTCGCCCCTGGAGCATAGTATAGATGCAGAGAGAGGTCTCGGTGGGCCTGGCAGCCTTGGTCACCAACCTCCATGGCCCCTCGGGTCCCTTGTGCATGTGGGGGCTGATATGGTGCCAGGTCTCACCGTGGAGCAGCATTCCCAATCTTTTCCTCTCCAGGCTGCCAGCCCCTGTAAGCAGCGCCCAGGTCCTGAGCACTTTCCCTCCAGTTTCCTTTGCCATCCTCTCTCTACTCTTCTTCTCTCACCCCCCTTCTTCTTCCCCATTTCTCCCACCCTTCTTCACAAGGGCTGGAGCCGAGGGCCTTGGGGAAGAAAGAGCATATGGGGCCAAGGTCAGGAAGGGGCTCTTCCTGGGTCCCTCCCTCCCCAAAGGTGGCACCTGCACAGCCTGGGGAAGAGCAGAGCCCCCCTCAGGGGGTTGGCTTCACCACCTGACAACAGCCTACAAAGGCAGGTCATTGCCACCAGGGCAGCAAGGACAATGCCACTGCCATAGAACTAAGCAGTTGCCGGTGTGTTCAAGGGACATGTACAGAGTCGGGTAGCTTGGGAGTCAGATGCACCTGGCCCAGGGCCTGGCGCCACCCTGCCAGCTATGATTGTGGGAAGTCACTCCACCGCCTCCTCTGTAAACGGTGATGATGGTAGACCAGGCTCGTGGGCAGTTGTGAGGACCGCTGGGCTGAGAGCTATGAGGGCCTGCACACAGGAATCATCACTCAATAAATGGCAGACACTGCTACTCCATCCACACGCCGTGGCTAGAGGACAGGTTGTAGGATGTGGATGCTCTGCCCCAGAGAGGCAAGAGCTAGGCACCAGTGACCCAGTCCTCGGTCCTCAGCCTTCCTCTCCGGTCAGCCCTGCACTTCCTTTCCTGGCCTGGGGAGAGTTGGGGCTGCCTAAGACAAAGGTGTCTAGAGGCAGCTCCTGGAGCTAGGCCAGGAGAGCCCTAGGGCTAGTGGCAGCCGCCCACCGGATCAGCCACACTATCTGCTGCTCCCTGGGACCCTGAGGGCCTCATCCTGTCCTCGTACCTGCTCTCAGCACCGCCCAGCCAGGCCTCCGGCCGCCACAACTTCTCCACCACCACTACCGCCACCTCCGCCTGCAGGGCCTAATCTTGCCAAACCAAGGCCAAAACCATGAGCAGATTCTGAGAGACCCTCCAAGCCCGGCAGGTATGAAGCTCCTCCCTCCAATCGAAACTGTCAGCTAAGAGTTGAAAGCAGCGGGTTCTCAGGGCAACGCTGGGTGACTTTGCTGTGAATGCCTGCCCCAGCCCGCTCCCTCACCCACCTCCTCACCAGCCAGCCGCTTGGCTTCGGTTCGTCCTCTCTATCCTGGCCTTCCGTCTCCAGACACCAGCCCATAGCCCCAGGACCATGTGGGCCTCTATGGGCCTGCATGGGGGCCTCAGCATGAACTGGCCTGGACTTCCTGGCCCTGAGGCTAGTTAAAACAATTTTTCAGTTTTTTCTCTCTCTTTCTCTCTCTGTTTTAATGTTTTGCTGCGTTTCATCTTGGGGTTCTTCTGGCCCCTCTACTGAGAAACCAGCCCCAACAAACAGTTCTTCCCGAGCTTCCTTCACCCCAGCCATAGCCCAGCCAGCAAATCACTCACTACACCAAGGCCACAGCAAGATCACCCCCGAGACGCTGTCCCCCTGGTGTCTGCTTCCAACTCTGGATTAATTCGAGGATCTCTTAGTCCTCGGTTAATGTTTCCCAACTGAATGCGTGCACCCTCCCAACCTTGCTGGCAAAACCAAATGAAACCCCGTAGAGAAATCTGCATGACCCGCGGTTCCATGTAGAATGTGTTCGATGGTGGTTGCGGCCCTGCCCTCTACGTGCATGGTGCATGTCCTGTCCCTGAGCTGGGCCTCTCCGGCAACATCACTGCCCAACCCAGGCCAGCTCTCTTCAGAGGGGAGCAGTATCTCCCCCGACCCCTGATCCTGCTGTGCCCCACCCTGCCTGCGTGTGGAATGAAGCAGGGACCACGTCTTGTTTGTCTTTGTGGGTCCTCCCGTCTCCATTCCCAGTGGTGCGCGCAGCCACTGTGGTGGACCCTTCCTTTGCTTGTCCTGCTGTGTTTTTTGGCTGCGGTGGGTCAGGGCCCTAGGCATTGCCAACCCTCACTCGCCTCTCTCCTCCATTGCAGAACCGCATGCACGAATCTCTGAAGCTTTTTGACAGCATCTGCAACAACAAATGGTTCACAGATACATCCATCATCCTATTTCTTAACAAGAAGGACATATTTGAAGAGAAGATCAAGAAGTCTCCGCTAACCATCTGCTTTCCTGAATACACAGGTAGAGACCCCTCCCCAGGAGAGCAGGGGCCTGCCCAGCCCCTTCTGACCACAGGAATTCTTGAAGGAGCATGCCCTTTCTCCAAAGCTCAGTCTACCTTTACTGTGCTTCTACCTTTACTGTGCTCTGCAGATATACCGGATTCTACCACGGAGAATCCAGCACAAAACAGGACCCCACCTCACCTCCAGAATGTGCTGTAGTGAGGGGGTTAGGGGCAGCTAACGGGGAAAGCAGGGCTGGGATCCTGGCTCTGCACCTGCTGGCTGTGTGATCTCGGCAACCTCTTGGAGCCTGAGATCTGTCATCTGTAAGCAGGTTATCTGTGAAGTGGGAACACCGAGATGATGAAGGGGCAACAAGCAGTAGCTTTGAGTCAGGTGGCTCAGGGTTCATGCCCCAGCTCTGGGCAGCTCACGTGGCCTCGCAGAGTTGCTGTGAGGATGAAATGAGCTCATAAATACACAGAACTTAGTACTTGGTGCATAGTAAGTGCCTACTGTGTGCTTGTTCTTATTGTTACTGTTGTGATTATTACTAACAAGCAGCTGAACAACACCTCTCACACGGGGTTACAGCAAAATTCAAATGGCCTAGTGGATGTGACAGAGCTTTGCAAGCAACCGAGCCCTGGCCACCTTGCAGAGGGTGCCAAGGACAAGAGGCCTGCTCTGCCAATGTTGCAATGGATTTACCTGACCATACGGTGGGTGGGCAGCTAGGAGGCAGCCTGATCAGGACCCCAAGGAGCTGTGAGGGTGGTAGCCCTGGTCAGGGGGCAGCAGTCATAGCAGGGCCCCAGAATAGCCCATGTGCTCATCAGCTCTTCCCAGATGGCCAGGCCCTGGCCAGATGTGAGTGGGAGAAGTGGGGCATACTCAGCCTCACCGGCCCTTGGGCCTGGAGGGCACAAGAGTGAGGACAGGCAGAGTCCCCGTAGAGTGGGAAGTGCCTGGGCTGAACGCCACATCCCTGACAGTGGGCTTGGGGCCAGGCAAGCAGCACAGCTCTCTCCACCTCCTGCCCCTCCACTCCACCCCGTTTCTCAAAATCAGGCTGACTGTCCTGTAGGCCAGGACTCCAGGAGCATCCAACCAGAGGTGGGCAGGACCCAGCCTCTCTCACCCCTGCCAGCCACCTTCCTCTTAGCCATAAGTTGGGGGCCTAAGGATCCTACCCTAGATGACCTGGACTTGTGGCCTGTGGGGCAGTGGATGCAGGCAGGGTGGGTCACTCACCAAGGCCAGTTTAGGGCTGGGGCAGGGAAGGAGAGGACCACTAACCACGGGAGTCTGAGTAGTAACCTGCAGTCCCAGGGATATTCCCCTTGCATTCAGCCCAGATTTAGCAAAGAGCTGTGGTCTGGTAGGCCCTTGAGGCCAGGACTGTTGTCCTGCATGCATGTGCCTGAGTGGCTGGGAGCCCTCCTCCGGGTATGCCCCCCTGAGCATTCTGCATGGCAGCCCACCCCAGCTTAGCACTGTGGCTCCAAACTCCAGCCCCCCTCAGCGGGTTGTCACAGCCCTGCTGGTGCTGGATCCAGATTCCTGGAGGCTGCAGAGGCTTCAGCACAAAGGCAGGATCCGGTTCTTCCTCTCCTCTGCGGACCAGCAGCTTGTCTCCTGGACACCCCTCTCCCTGGGCTCTTGCGGGAACCAGACCAATATGGTGCACCCTGAGGAAGGCAGCAAATAAGCCAGCCAGCCAGTTTTCAGTCTCCTGAGAATGGCCACCAGAAGAGTGAGGGAGTGAGGAGAAGGAGGAAGGAGGCCAGGGCGTCTCACAGACACCAAGCAGACCACAGGCCACGTTCCTCCCACCTTGTCCAGCAGTAGCCATGGCCTGCTCTGCAGGCTCACAAGCAGGGGAGCCTTGCCTATGTGGTGCGCGTCAGACAGGGGCCCACCTGCTTGAGACCAGTGCTTCCACGCCTCTTTGCATGTGACACGTGGTAAGATACAGTAGTACCCTTACGCGCAGGAGATATGTTCCAAGACCCCCAGTGGATACCTGAAACTACAGATAGTACCAGACCCTGTGCATACAAGGCTTTTTCCTATATGTACATACTTATGATAAAGTTTAATTTATAAATTAGGCACAGTACGAGATTAACAGTGATAANGCAGTAGCCATGGCCTGCTCTGCAGGCTCACAAGCAGGGGAGCCTTGCCTATGTGGTGCGCGTCAGACAGGGGCCCACCTGCTTGAGACCAGTGCTTCCACGCCTCTTTGCATGTGACACGTGGTAAGATACAGTAGTACCCTTACGCGCAGGAGATATGTTCATCAAACAGGGGCCCACCTGCATGAGACCAGTGCTTCCATGCCTCTTTGCATGTGACACGTGGTAAGATACAGTAGTACCCTTACGCGCAGGAGATATGTTCCAAGACCCCCAGTGGATACCTGAAACTACAGATAGTACCAGACCCTGTGCATACAAGGCTTTTTCCTATATGTACATACTTATGATAAAGTTTAATTTATAAATTAGGCACAGTACGAGATTGTTCTATTCTAAAAATAGAACAATTATAACAGTATATTATAATAAAAGTTATGTGAATGTTTATTTCTGGAACAGTGATAACTAAAAATAGAACAATTATAACAGTATATTATAATAAAAGTTATGTGAATGTTTATTTCTGGAGTTTTCCATGTAATATTTTCAGTCTGCAGTTGACTGCAGGCCACCAAAACCACAGGAAGCAGAATCGTGGATAAGGGGGAGCTACTGTGTAAAGTTTGCATGAGGGGTCAGTAGGCGCATATATAAAAGGAAAACAAGCTTCAGGAAACAGTTCTCACCCTTAATACAGGTGATGCCTGGGAGAGCTGATACTTTGTTTCTTTCATGATTTCTATCATGGATCTGAACTACTGACTGGATTTCATGACCCTCTGTGGATTCAGCTGAGCCATCAGGTTTCCCCCGCCCCCAGCAGGGTTCTTCCTCCTGGTTGTCTCTGAGCAGCCCTTGGCATCTGCTCCACAGCCCCAGCCCGATGCGCATGCTGGCCAGGCCGGGCTGCACTCACTCACGCCTGCCTGTTTCCTCCCGCAGGCCCCAGCGCCTTCACGGAAGCCGTGGCTTACATCCAGGCCCAGTATGAGAGCAAGAACAAGTCAGCCCACAAGGAGATCTACACCCACGTCACCTGTGCCACGGACACCAACAACATCCAGTTTGTCTTTGACGCCGTGACAGACGTCATCATCGCCAAAAACCTGCGAGGCTGTGGACTCTACTGAGCCCCGGCCACCCTGCCCAGCCAGCTGCCCACCCTTCCCCTGGAACCAGAGCTCCACCACCTCTCAGACCACTCTTTGAACTAGAGGAAGAGGAACCCAGAGGCTGGCAGCAAGCAGGGAGGGGGCACAACCTACCCCCCACCCCCACCCCCCTCCTCCAAGCCTGTGCTGCTGCCCAGACACCGGAACACGTGGTAACGCGGGGGCGGGGCTGGGGGGCGGAGTGCCACACACCACATGGCCAGGAGACACTGGCCTCTGCTTCATCTCTAAGTGTTTCATCTGGAGGTTGGGGGGTGGGAGAGGCAAGGCTGCTGTTGGGCCCAGAGTAGGCACGCCCTGCACTGGATGACTCACATGCCAAGCCCTGGGGTCTTCTCCTGTCACCTGGGGTTGTGCAGGTGGCAGAGACAGCCCTGCAGCAGGGTGCGGGCAGATTGTGGGTAGTAGGAGCCATCTCTCAGCTTTGCCTGGGGTCTCTGTGATTGAGGGCAGCTCCGTCACCAAAGCCAGCTGGGACCAGCTTGGAGTGGGTCTGAGGGCTCAAGCCTCGGCAAGTGCCTCCCCTTCCCTCCCCTTGGATCTCAGTCCTTCCTTCCCTGTGTCATCCTTCCTTGGTCATCATCCTCCCGGGAAGCCCCATTCCCTGACTCCTCCTAGGCCTGGAAATACTTCTGAGACTGACTGATTGTGAAGGTAGGAGTTGGGAGGGGTCGAGTCCTGCGCCTGTACAGAGCTGGGGAAGGGGTGGGAAGCGACAGGCAGGGGGGATGCGTTGAGGGAAGCAGCTCTTGTGGTGACTGGGCTGGGGCCTCACCCCCAGTGTTTGCAGGCCCAAGGGTGACCCATCTGCTCTCTCAGTGGCCTGGGACTCAGCAGCTGCTCCAGGGTATGGCTGGATGTGCTTTTCCTTCTCCACTGCACAGCGAATCCAACTCAAACCAGCAGGGGCAGGCAGAGGCCTTTGGGCTGGGCTTTCTGTAGTTGGGGAGGCCAATGTGTGGCCCAGGCCCCTGTGGCCAACCCCCGCATTTTGCTCCATCTTTGTGAAGAAATCGAGGAGTTTGTCTGCAGCCGTTGGTGTCCTCCCAGCTCCTAGCTGCAGGCAGGTGAATGGAACCAACACCCTGGACTGTGAGCTATGAGGGGCTTGGGCCAGCTCAAACACAGACCACCACCCCCCACTCTGGGGGGTGGATCCCAGGATCCCTTGGAGGCAGCTTTGCTACAGAGATCCCTGAGCAGAAAGGGGTGGGGTGTCCTCTCCTGGTGACCCTGGCCCTGGCTGGCCTTGGGTAATCAACACACGACTCTCACTCCTAAGCGGCTCCAGTTGCTGATGCCACAGCGACACCCGAGGCAGGCCCTGTGCACTTGTGTGGCAGGCTGTGCCTAGGGACCCAGATGTGCCCCTGGGAGGAGAGAGGGCTGAAGGCTGCCCCTTGAGAGGCCTCTGCCTCCTTCCTCGAGCCCTCTGTTCTCCCATCCTCCACACTGGGTACAGCTCAGTCCTGGGCCAGGCAGGACCCATGGACTCCCACATGTAGCCCCCCTGGACTTCCTAGGGGCAAGGAAGAGCCCCATGCCAACAGCTCTAGGCTTGTTGGTTCGAAAAGGCACAGAGCTCAGGGTGGTGCATGGGAGATCCAGGGACCTTCCCTCGTACCACATGCCTGCAGGGATGGGTGCCTCAGGGGAGCCTTTCCCCAGCCTGGCTGTCTTGCTACTGCCTCTGGCAGCCA